GTGCTGTGCTTTAACCCGCTGCACACCAGGGAGGGCCTCCTTCTATTTCTTTATCTTACAACCATTCTACCCCTTATAAGTAACCCATTTTATTAGTTTCCTGTCATTTTATAGCTGTTTTAAAATTTATTTTAAAAAATTTAAACTTATCAAAACCAAGAAATTTATCAGTAGATGAGGTCAGGGAAGCTTTCTGAATAGAAAGGATTATTGAGGAGGTAACCCTAGTAATTTTTAACTTAAATACAAATAAAAACAAAATCTTATTTTCCTTTGCCGAAGCATATAAACACTGCAATAAAGCAATTGGTCAACATCTGCCCCTTAAATACTTTTTAAAAATAATTTTTCATTTGGAAGCTGTTTAACTTATACAAGTATTAGGTAACTAAATCCTTGTAAAATTCACACAAGTGGGATCTTCCTGGTGGTACAGTGGGCTAAAGTGCAGCACTACAAAGCTAGCTAGCTAGCCGCAGCCGCTTCCATATGAGTTTGATCCTGGGCCTGGGCAGTGACCCACATGGCACAGCAGACCTCTCCTGACCCACCCGCTATTCCCCTCAGCAGTATATTTCAGAAGATCTGCCTGTTCTGCCCCACCACTGTCCTTGGTGAATCCTCTCACTATACCTGCATTTCTGGCCTGTACCCCAGTTCTATATGTATAAATAAATAAATCTTAAAAAAAAACTCACACAAGCATAAGTCTCTTGGTCATTCTTATTCCTTTTTACTCTACCGAGAGCTAACTTGGTATTTAATAACTCCTTCTTTCTGACAATGTCTGTTGGAAATGTGACTCCCAGCTGCATTTTTAGTTTGGAAACTAGACCTCCTCCGTGGCTGTTAGTTACATGTTGAAGCTGAAAATTCTCTCCCCTTTTCTGTCTGTATAGATTTTCTTCATGCTTCTTCTTTTGTTAATCTTGTCACATTCCTTCTAGCTCCCCTATAGTTGGCCAAATAATGTAAGGTGAATGAGGTAAAATTACTATTTTTGTAGATAAGGGGAGATAATTATCAGTAGTTAAACAATTTAATTGTTTAAAACTTAATTGGTTCATGTGTCTGATTGTCCTCAAGGGTTGTGGCCACAACATACGTCTGTGGAATTGATCAGATAAAAGCCACTAGATTACTAGATTTGTTAACTGTTTATGCTGAACTGTCCCCAAGGCACATGGTGGGTTAAAGCACAGCACTGCAAGTAAATCACAGCCACTTCAGTGTGAGTTCTATCCCCAGCTCCAGAGGTGACCACATGGTGTGGCAGACCTCTCCTGTCTTGCCCGCTGCTCCCCTCAGCAGTGTACTTCGTAGATCTGCCTCTTCTGCTCTACACTCTGACTGTGGTGAATCCTCTCACCACCCCTGCACCTCTGGCCAGTACCCCTATTGTGTATTCATGAATAAATAAATCTTAAAAAAAAAAATGCAGTTGGGTTCCTCATCTCCTAAGAGTGACATGCATTCTTGTCACAATTTAGAAGAGTAGAGAAACATTTTTTTGCTAAAAACCTGTTTTGACTTTGGTTAATGTTGAACCTCCTAGAAAGGTTTGTTAGGTCTTATCAGACAGTGGGATGCTGGTTCCTTTAAATTGTTTTGAGCATGGAATATGCTTTAGGTTTACTGAGGGCTCAGAAGTCCTTCATTTCTTGAGTATGTGCAGTGGAGTTGTGAGACTAGGAATTTGGAGTTGATTTGGTGTGTCCAGACCTAGCAGTCATTTAGACAATGACCAGTGCAAATGTAAAAGAAATTGGGGTTTGTCCTGAGGTTGCCAACTTTTTATTTTATCAAATAAGGATATTTAAAATGCATATCTAACTATATACTTTTTATAGTTAATACTTGCTCATGGAACAACATTCAAAACATACAGAAGGATATATATTGAATAAAATAAGTTTATACTTCCTCTCCAGTTCCTTAACTATCCAGTTCCTCTCCCAAGAGGCAAACCGGGTTGCTTGATCATCCTTCCAGAGATAGCCCACGCATTTAAAAACAGGTATGAAAGTATTGGCTCTCTCCCCTCCCCCCAACAAATGGTAGTGCATTCAATACCATTTTCCATCTTGAGTTGGTTTTTATTTCCACTTTTCATAGAGATCTTTAAAAATCAGTATCTAGAGAGCTGCCTCATTCTTTTTAGTGGTTACATAATATTAATAAGAATATTACAAGCAATTGCCATTGTTTTAATTTAAGAAGTATATTTAAATATCAAGAAGAATGTGATTTTAGTAGAGGAAAGTTCAGTAAACTAAATAAATTTAGTTTGCAGAAAAATTAATTCTGTACTTGGGACAAAGACCTGTGTTTGAAAACTATTGCTGGAGATAGCAAACCTTAAAGAAAAAACTTTGAATAGGAGCGTGTTAGGGGCAAATTATATTATTTTTGAAGGGCTCATTAGTTTCTCATAGACAGTGAATGAGAGGCAAAAGGCATATAATTGAAATATTTATGTCCTTCCCATTTTACAGAGAAAGATAGTTTTAGGAAATCTTTTTTTGTCTCCTACAGTTACACTACTCGGTTTATCAGAATCACAACTGGTCAGTCTGCTAAGACATATCTACAGCAGCTATATGCCAGTTAAAAAAAAAAAAATATATATATATATATTTTGTTTTTTACATCATTTTTTATTTTTGTACAGTGTATGTTTTCTTACATAGTCCCCATGAAATTCCCACCACCAAGTCACCTGTGTACCATCACCATGGTCCCTTGTGTTCTTCCCACTCATTTTGATCCTACTCCTTTCCACTCCTCCCTACCCACCCCAAAATATCACTGGTTTATAGTTGCCTGTTGATTTTGATATTTACTTTATTATAATTAGTCTTCCCCATCCCCATCCCTTTGTTGGATCCTCTGCATTCCTCCTAGAGTGAAACCATTGGTATTTTTCTTTTTCTTTCTAGCTTAATTTACTGAGCATGATCCCTTCCAGCTCCATCTATGTTGCTGTGAATGGCATGAGTTTATCTCTTGATTTGTATGCGGGTTTGATTGATATATGGAGACTAGTTTTAGACTAGCTTCCTTCTGTTAATATTTTTTGAACAATTAATGTATCTATAGTGCCATAAGGAATTTTGAAAAGCATACACTGTCAGTCCTGTGTGAGAAGTACCCATATTATATGATGGGGCCCTGAACTTGTAGATTGACTTACACTTAAATAGATAGCTAGAGTTTGAGAGCCTTGGAATTGAGGAATTCACAGAACACGTGTGACCTTTGGGAAGAATAGGGTGAGAGAATTCATTTGTTGAACCTTTATTGAATTCCCAGTATGTGCAACCTGTTGTCATAGGTTAACAACAAGCAAACTGCTTAGAGGATACTGGTTTAGGACTGACGAGTACACAAGGAAGCAGGCCTGTTTATTTAGGTAGTACATATTTTTTAAGACAGCACTTTCTGTCCTAGCTAATGGATACAATAAAGGAAGAAAATTGAACAACTTCAAGTTATAGGTAGAAAATACAGGTAGAATCTAAACTTTTAAAATCTAGAATAGAAATATGATTAATATAAATATATTTAAGAGAATAATTACATAGTTATTTTTAATGATTGGTTTGTTGAAAAAGTCACCATGAATTTTTACTTGAAAAACAGAAAAAAATATGCCATGACTTTTCCAACAACCCAGTATTTATTTTTGTAGTGAACAGTACATTCATATGGTTGAAAAATACAAAGTATTAAAATTATTCCTCTCATTTTTACCTCTACCTGTTTCCATATAAAGTTCCCTTCTGATACCAGTTCTGTTTAAATGCTGGAAACAGAACCACTCTGAGTATTTTAACCACAAAAAAATTTGACAAAAGAATTGGGTACTTAAAAATTGTTGGGAGGGTTGGAGGAGTGGGACTTAAGGAGGGGGCTGAACTTAAGAGTATTGCTTTGGAGACCCACCTTTGGGTTTGTGATCTGGAGTCAGGAAGTCACTACTGCCACTGCTGTCCCTGCTGCTGCTGCTTGACAGTCAGGAAGCTGGTAACTAGGCATTAGGCCTTTGTTACTGCAGATTAGTGCGTTAGCATCATCTGGAGCTTGTTAACGATTTTACCTCTAACTCCATCAACTGACTCAAAGTTCATATTTTTAACAAGATCCTCTGATGATTTGTAGTATATGAAAATTTGAAAGACTGCACTGGAGCACTGGTCTGGTCACTGCAGTAACCTCCAAGTCTACAGGTTTCCATGATCTTGGTTACCAGCTGTAAGGGAGTCAGGAAAATTTAGTCGTTGGTTGTCCCAAATCTCAATCTAGGATGAGGGTGGAATATGGATACTGAAAGAACCCATCTACTCAACTGACCATACTTCCACAGGTAACCATTGTTAGTTTCTTGTGTATCTTTCCAGATAATGTATGTGTATAAAAGTATATATGAAAATATATTCTTTTTCATTCAAACAAATAATAGCTTACAAAACACAGTTTCTATACTTTGCTCCTTCTATGTAATAGTAAGTATATCATGGATGAGCGTTCAGTAGCATAGTAAAGAACTGTTTTTTTCCCACAACTACATAGTATTCTACTATATGGATTGCAAGATTTTTGAAATTAAGCAATCTTATACAATCCAGGTTGCATGGTTAGTTTAATTTATTGGTATATGTAAAATATAATCTAGTTGTTAAATGTTTGTTTCTTAAAGCCTTCTTTGTGCTTAGGTCTTGTTTGTATGTCGTCTCTTTTATCCGTCCTTCTACTTTACATGAGGGAAGTCAAGTTCTGAAAGGTTCACTTAATAGTTCATAAATCAAGGAATATCCAAGTTGTGATTGAACTCCAACTCTGGTAGTCTCTATAGTTTGTGTATTGACACAATTATGCAGAGCCTTCAAATGGTAGACTTTATTTAGTATTTTGGTAACCAATACCCTTGGGAAAAGGTTTGAAATGGTACTGTTTTGGGTGGATATTAAAATAATTTTAATTTCTCTTTCCTGACTCAGGTATCCAGCTCACATAGAAGATATTGACTACGAAGAAGGAAAAGTACTCATCCATTTCAAGCGTTGGAACCATCGTTACGATGAGTGGTTCTGTTGGGACAGTCCTTATCTACGCCCTTTAGAGAAAATACAGCTGAGGAAAGAGGGCTTACACGAAGAGGAAGGATCTTCTGTGAGTAACAAATCTGAGAAGTTCTATAATGAACCACATCAGCCTTTGGGCATTTATTTTGCAGCCTTGATGTTTAGTTTGAAACTGGGAAACAGTCCTTAGGCCTGAATATGCAGCTCTGAGACCTGCATGGTACGTTGGGCTCCTGAGGAATCCCAGTTTCATCTGTTTCTATGATGTGATTGATGTAGCAGTTCATAAATTAATTTGGCTGCGACTGCACTGATGATGAACAGACCTTATTTCACTCTTTTATCCCTTTATCCCTGCATCCCTTTAGATAATTTATTAAGGTGCTATGCTGTCTAATCATTTGTTAAGCAGTCATTTCATGTGGTACCCTAGGCAAGTTTCATATCAAGCAAGTCTTATGTAAGTCCTTGAAGCTTCAATTTGGACTTTATTAGACTATATTTTGGTTCCCTAAATTTCATCACTATGCATGTTTCATCACTATGCATGGGGCTTTTACTGACTTGAGAATGAAGGATGAAGTATTAATTTTGAGTTTTAAAGTGTTTTTTTAAGATTTATTTATTTATGCATGTAGAATTGGTATACAGGCCAGAGGTGCACGGACCATGAGAGGATTCATCAGAGACAGAGCGGATAGCAGAACAGGCAGATTGATGAAGTATACTGCTGAGGGGAGCAGCGGTGGAGACAGGAGAAGTCTGCTGCTCCCTGTGGATCACCTCCAGAGCGGGTCGAATTTTCACTGAAGAGGCTGCAACTAGCTTGCAGTGCTTTAACCCATTCTGCCACCAGGGAGGGCCTAAACATTTGTTTATGCATATAAGAACTGGGATGTAGGCCAGAAATAGGGAGGGGGTGGTGATAGGAGTCACCAGAGACAGAGTGAGGTCAGAACAGGCTGATTACTAAAATACACTGCTGAGGGGAGCAGTGGGAGAGAGAGGAGAGATCTGCTGTATCAAGTGTGTTAGTTCCCTGGCTGACAGGGGGTCAAACTCATTCCGTAAGTGGCTGGAAGTAGCTTGGTAGTACTGCATTTTTAACCCCTATACCACCAGGGTGGCCCAGTTTTGAGCTTTTTAAATAACCTTTCTTTCAGACAGCTGTGGAAATCCTGCTACCATTCTTTCTGATTCAACCCTAGATTCTGTTTTCCATCTGCCAAATGAATTTAAACTCTTGCTAGCCTCTTTTTCCTTCCCGAGTTTATGATTGCTCAGTATTTATTTTACAATTTTTTAAAAGATTTATTTATTTTTGCATACAGATCTGGGGAATAGGCCAGACGTGCAGGGAAAGAGAGAGGATTCACCAAAGGCAGAGAGAACAGACAGATTGACAAAATACACTGCTGAGGGGAGCAAGAGGGCAAGATAGGAGAGGTCTGCTGTGCCATGTGGGTCACCTCCTTGGTGGGGATAGAAATTGTGGTGAAACAACTGTGGCTGGCTTTATGGTGCTGCGCTTTAACCCATTGCACCATCAGGGAGGTCCCTGTTCTATGAAATATTAATGCACAGTGTGCTGGGAAAATAGTATCAAAAATTAAAAGTGAATAGGTGTTTCCTTTGGCAAAAGAACCTTTAAGCGCAGCGGGTTAAAGCACAGTACTAAGAAGCTGAAGCCACCTCTGCATGAGTTCGATTCCCGCCTGCCCCGGAGGTGACCACATGGTGTGGCAGACCTCTCCTGGCCCGCCCGCTGCTCCCCTCAGCAGTGTACTTCATCAGTCGGCCTGTTCTGCTCCCCACTCTGTCTCTGGTGAAGCCTCTCACTGCCCCTGAGCCTCTGGCCTGTATCCCAGTTCTGTATGCACAAATAAATAAATCTTAAAAAAAAAAAAAAAAAGACTGTGGGTGGCATTAAGTGACATGAATGTTGCTTCTCTCAAGACAACGTAACTTCCTTCTGTCCAGCTTGTATACCATGTGTGTTAATCCTGGGCATATAACCTCACTTTGAGAGACAGTGTAGGTTATCGTTAGTGCTTTCTTACACCTGCCCAGACCTCCGTGACTGGAAAAAGTCTTATTTGCAGACCTTTTGACCTTTTGTTTTGACTCCCAGTGCTGAACAGTGGAAACATCTTCCTCAATGGGACTAGCCATCTCCCTTTCCTATTCTTGTCAATTCTAGCCTCTTTTATGAAATCTGAATAGTGATTTCAGTTCCTATGTTACTGGATTAGTAATGGGATTTTTTTTTAATGTTTTCTAGGAATTTCAAATAAATGAGCAGGTCCTTGCTTGCTGGTCTGATTGTCGTTTTTACCCAGCTAAAGTCACTGCTGTTAACAAGGATGGTAAGGCATTTGAATTTCAGTTGTTTTTACTCATGACTTAGGGGATACTTTATTATGTTTGATAATATATTTTATAGTTTGATAATATATTTTCAGTATGTATTATTGCCTAGGCATGTTTTCACTTTCAACTTAATTACTGCAACAGGACTTTGGAAAAGATTATAAATGGAGAGAGAAGGCTGGATTAAAAAGGGAGATTAAATTGTTTGCCCCCTAAATTTTAGTCATTGTTTCGTAAGATAGTTATGGTTCATCTGCACTTCACTGGGGAGTGTGCAGGTCCTTGGTGTCTGGGAATTTCTAGTATAATTGATGGAAAAATGCCCCTAATACTCTTTTCACTTATTTGTGAGTTGCCTAGAAATGAGTGAGCACCAACAGTCTTTTTTTTTTTTAAAGGTTTGTTTTACTTATTTATGTATACAAGAGATGGGGTGTAGTCCAGAGGTGTGTGGATTGAGAAGATTCACTAGAGTGGAGAGCAGAACAGCTGGAATGACTAAAATAAACTGTTGAGGGGAGCAGAAGGTGAGACAGGAGAGGTCTGATGAACCATGTGGATAGCAGCCTGGCCAGGGATCGAACTCATGCTGCAGTGGCTGCCATAGCTTCATAGTGCTAAAACAACCCCTTCCACCACCATAGAGGCCATATTTCTTAAAAAATGCTCTTTGTGGGTACAAATATTAGAGTTGCTCATTCAAATGGAGGTGTGCTAGGATTTAGAACACTGGGTTGGAATGTGTGCAGATTTTAGAACATGTAAGGAGTCAAGATAGGTAACTTGACCAAAAAGTGGCTCATATGATTATCACAGGCGAGAGGAGGGGTTATTAAGAAAAGATGTATTGTTAGTACCCTGACTCACAGAGAATAGTCCCTGAATCTAAGTGATAATGTTTTTTACATTTTCTACCAAGATGCATGCTGTATGTCTTTGTATGTCTTTGATCGCTGCAGTCTGTTTAAAGTAATCAGATCTTTTAGTACCACCAACAGGGGTGACATTACGCAATATTGACTTTTCATTCAGTTGATTTATTCAGCACTGTTAAATGCTGGACCCTGGACTGATAAAGAAGTTTTGTTTGAGAATGCATTGAAATAGTAAAAAAATACACATTTATGTATACCAGACATTTCAGTTTCTCTTTCACTATATTCACCCTACTCCTATCATGCCAAATATTAGACCAGTGTGTTAAACAGATATATGTTGTAAATTACCTACCAGAAGTAGGTTATTCTTAGAACACATTCCTCTTGCCTGATCTTTGAATCTTTGAATCTTCTAAGTTGTTTTAAGAATTACTGTTTCACAAATTCATGGTTAAGTCTTTCTGCATAGACCCTTGTTTTCCTAAATTATTTTTATGAGTTTGTGTTCAAAATAAAGTAGCTATTATTTTATATGAATCACATTAACCTAAAAAAACTTATTTTAAAGGAAAATTTATTTTATTAAACTGTTTGAACCCTTTAGGTAAAAGACAGTTTTTTTTTCAGACAAAAAGAAACTTTATAACAGTCTTATTTTCAAGGTTAGTTATTTTTCTGTGCTTGCTGGATTTTATATTATGTGGTATTAAGTATAAATGCTATCATGTAGATAGATAGATATTTCCTGAAAAAGTCTTTTGGATGATTATGCTGACTAACTCATTTCCTCCCTCCCTCCTCCAATAATATCCTTTAGAGATGTTCTCCCTTGGAGACAGGACAGTCTTTTAGATCAAAGGAAAGTTGTGGGTAGTAACATGGGTAAATTTGTAAATAGATAAAAGAGGTATCCGGAAGGAAGGAGTGTTTTCTTTTGTTCTGATGATGCCCCAGAGTCACATGGAGCTAGAACTATGGTAAAGAGGGTTGGATGAGAGAATGACAAAGGAGGACCAGCTTGGGGGAAGAAGGGTTTAGAGAGTCCTGGGAAGAATCTCATAGAAAGGTGAGAGTGATATATCTTGGTGGAGATGATAAAGACTGAGGAACCTATCAGTACAATTTTCATCTAATATCTTTAGAGGCCAGAGCATGGCACTATGGATTAAAAAAACTAAAAGCCCTGTTCACAGCAGGATGGCTGGGTGCTGATACACAGCCACCAGGAGGAGGGAAGGGCAGGAGCAGGATGATGCAGATCAGTCATAGTGGGTGGGGGAGGTACCCTTCTCTGCTGTTACTGGGCTTTATGTGTGGGTGGATCTGACATGTTTTAAAGCAGTAATTTAAGAACTAAGAGTTCTGGGCCACATCATTGTCCATAGTTTATTAGAGTTTTAAAATGTTTTAACTTGGAGCAACCAATGCTTTGCAAGTTGTTTTAAAAGCCTTTTCAATTTATTTCCTCCATGAGCTAAAATTGTTGTGGGGAGGTATTGTGGTAATGGTTGCTCCTAAAACAGTGATTTGCATTCCTTCTTTGTATGTTGGTTCTGTGAACTTGCAATTCTGTCCTTGAATTTTAGTTAATTGAAGAATGTTGATAGGAGATTTCTGCCAAACCTGTTTTTTCCAAAGGTCTTGGGAAAGATCTTATGGTTCAACACTTACTCAGTCTTGAGACTAATTGGAAACAGGAGAGGAAGGACAAGGGGGCAGGGAAAACCTGAAAGTTAGTGGAACTGAGTGGGTGATGATAGTGCCACCTTGTGGATTGTGAAGGACTAGCATTTGTGGGAGTTCAGAACTGCCTTTTTCTGAGGTGAGTGACTTTAAAGTTGCCTTTGGTGTAGATTTTATCTATGGGAGTGGTGGACAGTTTCTAGTTCATCATGATTGATTCTAGCACTTGCAGGGTTGGGAGGGACAATTCTCAATTGCCTTTTGCTAGTATTTTTTAAGATTTATTTATTTATTTATTTATTTATTTTTTTAAAAAGATTTATTTATTTGTGCATACAGAACTGGGGTACAGGCCAGAGGCTCAGGGGCGGTGAGAGGCTTCACCAGAGACAGAGTGGGGAACAGAACAGGCAGATCGACAAAGTACAACTGCTGAGGGGAGCGGCGGGCGGGTCAGGAGAGGTCTGCCACGCCATGTGGTCACCTCCGGGGCAGGCGGGAATTGAACTCATGCGGAAGCGGCTTTAGATTCTCAGTGCTGTGCTTTAACCTGCTGCGCCACCAGGGAGGGCCAAGATTTATTTTTATTATGCATAGTATAACTGGGGTGTAGGCCAGAGGTAGGGTAAGAGACAGAGTGGGGTATGGAACAGCCAGATCTACTGAAATACACTTCTGAGGGGGGCAGTGGGTGGGACAGGAAAGGTCTGCTGTGCCATGTGCATTAGCTCCCTGGCTCTGACAGCTTGATAGTGCTGAAACGTAAACAAACCCTGTGCCACAAGGAAGGTCCTCTGTGAGATGTTACACCCTGCCTCAGTATTATCTGTAGCAGGGACCTTCACAGCTTATTGGCTTTTCTGACAAGCTACCCCTTTTATGTCTAGTAAGGAAAGTCTGTCTTGGTGGTGCTAGGAGGAGGCTGGAGATAAGAAGTCATACCCTGTGGATTCATCTTCGGGAGGCTTGGTCTGATAGTCTTGCCACTTTTCATGTTTTGGTAGTTGAAGCTCAGCATTGACTGAGTGGCTGGTGGGTAGGGGCTTTAACCAGAGTGTGAAAGTGACTGCCAGCATTAGGAGTCTGGCATGATTGAATGACAACTAGCTAGCAACTTTATAGTTTCTTGAGGGATTATTTAGCACTTGGAAACTGGGGAGGGCAATGACATGTCATTACCCTTTCACTGGGAATGGTTTTTTGGCAGTGGCAATTCAATGTCATTGAGCATTAAGGTAGCCATGTCTAGTATCCTTCTTAGACCTCTTTGATGGTGTAAAAGATGGATTCTGCTTTCAGATTGGGGATGTTTGTTTGGAAGCCATCTCTGATGAGTTGGACTCATCTTTTTCCAGAGCTGCTTCAAAGGTTTCCCCTTTAATGCCTGGCTTCAGAGCCACTTGTCTGGCAGGGCTTTGTGATACCATTCGACCATTCTGTAAGTCATTCTCTCTGGTGGGAAATGGAAAGTAGGTTTGTATTTATAACAGAATGTGGAAGTGTTCCATCCTGTTGATTTGTGGTTCTTTAATTTGAGTGAACAGGCAAGTGAGATTCTTAAAATTATGCATATTCTTAAATCATGTGACCCTTTATCCCCAGTTCATTTTACTTTGGGCCAGTGCTTCAATTATTTATTAGAGGAGATTCTATGGAAATGATTGTATTATAGAATCTCTAGTTGAAGAAATAACTATTTTTTGCTTTCTTCAGGCTCTAACAGACACTACATTTGAAATGTTGGAAGGTTGGGGCTGTGTTAACAGCTTTGCACAGACATAAAAGGAGTATTGCTTCTTCACCCCAGATGCTAGCTTAGCTCTTCTATGGGGGTGGGGGTGGGGGTGGTGAAGGGTTGGCGCTTCCCTTTTAAAGTGACTTGGTAGATGGTAATATTTATAACCACTACTAATGTGGTAGCCCCTGTGCTATACCATTTCCATATATGATCTCATTTAGTCTTCACACAGATATGGGAAGGTTGTTGTCAACAATTCCATCCTCATTTTATAAATGAGGAACTAATCCCATGGATCACATATCTGCTTGAGAGCACATACCTCAGCGGAAGAACTGAAATCTGTGTTGGCCCATGGAGCTCCACAGTTCCTGAACTGCAGTTCTTATAGTCTCATCTATCTGGAGTAGAGTTTTCCTGCAGGTGTACACTGGGCGGGCGGTATGTGTGATGTGCCAATGTGACAATAGGGTGCATATAGGTGGCCTGTGTTTTCTGGAACTGGGTGGTATCTTGAGAGCCTTGATAGACAGGATCTGGTTTCAGTTCCTTTTTGATTACAGGCAGCTCACTGCCCTTTTGAGCAGTTAGAGATCAAAGGAGGAGATGGAATAGATGAACATTTTGGGACATTGTTGGTCACAGAACCTAAACCCATATGTAAAGTTTCTAAGAGGAAAAGACTTGGGGAGGGGGTGGATATACAAACACATGCATATCCTTTTGCCTACTCTGTGAGGCACATCTATGGAAACCTTAAGACTTTGAAAAGCCTGGAATCTCCTTCCCATGGCATTTTGGCATTCTCTGACTCCTGGAGATGAGTGGGAGGGAGAAAGACCCCAGGACTCAGTTGTGGTAGATTTTTTTTTTTAATTTTATAACAGTTTATTTTTACATCATTTTGTACATTTTTTTTCCTTTCCCAATTGTAATCCCCGTGGGTTTCCCATCACCAAGTCACCAGTGTGCCATTACCATAAACCTGTGCACTTCACTCCCCCCCCCCTTTTTGATCCCATTCCCTACTCCACCCCCACAAAATGTCTCTGGTATATGGTTGTTCGTTATTTTTGTTATTTTCTCGCCTGGTCCATTATACTCCTGTTATGAGTGAAACCATCCAGTATTTTTCTTTCTCTTTCTGGCTTATCTCACTAAGCATGATCTTTTCCAGCTCCATCCAAGTTGCTGCAAAAGACGTGTTTCTCTTTTTTGTTTGCTGAGTAATATTGCATTGTATATATGTACCACATCTTTTTAATCCAGTCATCTACTTTTGGGCATTTGGGCTGCTTCCATGTTTTTCCAATTGTAAATAAAGCAGCAATAAACATGGGGGTGCAGGTATCTTTTTCAATTAGTGTTTTTGTGTCTTTTGGGTAGATACCTAGGAGTGGGCTTGCTGGGTCGTAGGGAAACTCCATGTTTAGCAGTTTGAGGAACCTCCAAACAGTTTTCCATAGTGGTTGTACTAGTTTGCATTCCCACCAGCAATGCAGGAGAGTTCCTTTTTCTCCACATCCTCGCCAACATTTGTTGTTGCTAGTTGTTTGAAGATGTGCCATTCTCACTGAGGTGAGGTGGTATCTCATTGTGGTTTTAATTTACATCTCCCTTATTACGAGTGATGTTGAACATTTTTTCATATGCCTGTTGGCCATCTGCATTTCCTCTTTGGAGAAGTGTCTTTTTAGCTCTTCTGCCCATTTTTTGATGGGGTTATTTATTTTTGTTGAGTTTCATCAGTTCTCCGTATATTTTTGTGATCAGTCCTTTATCACTACTTTTGTGTGAGAAAATGTTTTTCCAATTAGTGGGCTGTCTGTTTGTTTTTTGTAATGTCTCTTTTGCTGTACAGAAGCTCCTTAACTTGATGTAGTCCCATCTATTTATCCTTGCCTTCAATGTTGTGGCATTGGGTGCTCTGTCTTTAAAGATGTGGCTGAAGTGTATGTCGTGTAGTGTTTGACCCACCTTTGCTTCTAGGTATTTTATGGTTTCCATTCTTATGTCTAGGTCTTTTATCCACTTCGAGTTGATTTTTGTGACTGGAGTTAGGCAGTGACCTAGCTTCATTTTTTTGTATGTAGCTTCCCAGTTTTCCCAGCACCATTTGTTGAACAAATTTTCTATGTTCCATTATATATTCTTTGCTCCTTTGTCAAAAATTAGGTGTCCATAAACTTGTGGGTTTATATCTGGGTTTTCTATTCGAATCCTCAGTTGTGGTAGATTTTAAAGATTTATTTATTTATGCATATAGAACTGGGGTACAGGCCAGAGGTGCAGGGGTGGTGAGAGAATTTACTAGAGACAGAGTGGGGAGCAGAACAGGCAGATCGATGAAGTACACAGCTGAGGGGAGCAGTGGGCAGGCCATATGGGTCATCTCCAGGGTGGGGATCGAACCCATGCTGAAGTGGCTCTAGCTTCTTAGTGCTGTGCTCTAACCCGCTGCACCACCAGGGAGGTCCCTGTGGTAGATTTTAAGACCAACAGAAATCTGCTTTGTCCAGTCACCTCTGTACCCCTTTTTCTTTGGTCTTAGAGAAGAGCTTGCTACTTATGCCCCTTCTGTTATTACTGACTGCTGTAATGTTTTCTGATGTGCTAACTTACTCACCTGTGGCAGGAAATCCAAATAAGGAGCCTGAGGCAGGTGGCAATGATATACTTAGATTTCTGTCATTTACATGCTATTTGTTAGATGTTGTTTGAGGCCACAGGAAATCACTATTGTCAGTGACCCATGGGGAGATTACATAGGAAAGCATTCTTTTAATCATACATGAAACCACAAAAGTAAGTTTGGGCTTATTTCCAGCAGTGGTCCTATCTCACTGTTGGCTATGGGATATGTTACTTTTGTTCTCTCTGATTTATTTAAGCCCAAGATAGGCTGTGTACATGATCAGGAGGATTGTTGTCTTTTGAAATTACAGAGGATCAGACTTGGGATCTTGAGATCTAAAAACAATAGTTTCTGATCACCTTTAGGTTATTTCTTAGTGGCCAGGTGCTCTGGGTATGTGGTTTAGGTTTAGACTGAGGGACAGTGTGGGCTGGTAGGAGAGGAATTGGTGAAAGGTTTGGAGACTTGTTGGTGTTCTAATCTTTGCTGTGTCCAAGACTTAACATAGAACTTGGGAAACACTTTCATTTATGCCTCTATTTTTTGAGTCTGCCTAAATTCAGAAATGACTTCAAATAGCTGAAAATGTTTGACTTTCATCAGCATTATTAGTGTTGTCCTTTTGCATATTTGAATATGTGTAAAAATGCAGAATTTTTATTTTAATGTAATTGATACTGTACTTTGTTGTTAAAATAGTTAAAAGTAAAAAAGCACACCTTGAAGATATTATGGGCTTAGTTTCTAACCACTGCAGAGAGGTGATATTACAATAAAGCAAGCCACACACGTTTTTTTAGTTTCTCAATTCATGTAAATGTTAAATTTACATGGTCTGTTGTCCTCTGTTAAGTGTGCATTAACTTTTATGTCTCCATGTATACATAACTTTAATTAAATGTTAGAAAAATGCCAAAAGACTTGCTGGATGCAAGGTTGCCACAAACATTCATTTGTAAACTGTGTGATATCTGGGAGGCACAGTAAAGCCACACACAGTAAAATGAAATATACCTAAATAAGTATATTTGTTGTTGGCACATATAATATTACGATTTCATGAGAAAGTGGGTTTTTTAAACTTTCAGCCCACACTTCCAATTTCATGTTCACCAAAGTTGTACCATGTTTGTTCTTTAGCATTGCTTATCATTGCTCCTTTGCTTGCTAACACTCTCATATTGAGACAGGAAGCTAGATCTTTGCTGTAAGTATCACCATCATTGCTGAGCTGCCTTTTATAAGGTTCTTTTATCTTGTCCTCTTAATTGCTTGATTTAACCAACTAAGCATAAGTATATGTCCTTATATCCATCTTGTTTGTGAATTACTTTCTTCCTATACAAAGGAAGAAAGTCACTTACACAAATAATCCTTGTTTTGTAACTACTAGGAGTAAGATAAGTTGATATTTACTAATTGTTTATTGCTATAGTTCTCAGACTTCACTGTGCACTGGAATTAATCTGAAGGGTGATTTAAAAACACATTCCCAGAGTTTTTTGATTCAGTATATTGGGGGTGGGTCTGGTTGGTACATGCATTTCTAACAAGTTCCTAGGAGTTGCTGATGCTCCTGTCTAGGGACCATACTTTGAGAGGCAATAATTATAGTGATCCTCATCTGCAATGAAACAGGTGCTGTGTGAAAGAGAAGCTAGCGTCAGATGTTGTCTCTGGATTTAAAGAGAGCCTGCCTTTGAGATTTGGGCCCTGCCTTCCCATGTGAAGGAAAACTATATGTGAAACTCTATAGATCAGCTGCCAAATGAATCTTTGAAAAATTCAAACCAGTAGCTGGGAAGTCAGGGAACTTTCAGAACTACTTTGGTCCCTTGAATTGGGGTGCTTAACGTCAATGAGGACACATTCTAGGAAGTAAAACACTTTGATAAGGTGTGGAGGTAGTGCCTTGACACAAAGTAGTTTTAGTGGGTTGCAAGTAGTTAGTCACTTTGAATTGGTGTACATTTTATGCTAATAATGAGAAATAAGATTTGGACTCAGATTGCACTGACTGCTGGAGAGGGGACATTTTTAATACATATGAGTAGCCACTGCCCTATCAGTCCTTGTTTAGGACTGAAAGAGAGGTGAAATAGGGTGGGGGAGAATGTGTAAGGAGGCAATTCCTTGTTGCATTCTGTTACCAGCTCTCAGGCTTATTTCCTTCTGTGTTGAGTGAGAAATTAGTCCTGAAAATTGACAGTGTTTAGCCAGTGGTAGCTCCTTAGACAGTTACTTGTGGTTCACTGCTAATGCTGACAAAATTAAGTGTGAATCTTTATTTTATTCCTGGGACAAAAAAGAAAAACAACAACAAAAAAGGCAGATATGAAAGTTTGATAGTGTTAGGGTTTAGTGATGAAAGCTTTTGTAGTTGGAATTCTTATTTAGGAAGATAATATTTGGATTTTTAGTTTTTCAGCAGAGTGATTTTTGTTGGTCATTATTTTTTCTATTGGAATAGGATTGAACACCAAGTCTCTATTTTTAAATATTGTAACATTAAGGTATTTTATATGTATTTTGAGATTAATATAACCTTCAAAAACATGATAACCTTTAGCAAAATGGTCATGTTCCCTTTAAAGTTTGAAAGATATCTCTACCCCACGCTCAGAAAATAGATCAAGTGATTAAAGTGAATAATTCATTAAGGAATAAATCTGTATTTTCCTCACATTCTTTATTCTGTAGTCTTATTCTTGGTGTAAAGGCAGGGAAAGTTTTTATGTTAAAAAGAATCATGAAAACAAATTAGTTTTTGATGGCTTTTGAATACTTGAATATGGATACTTGGTATGTAATCTTTAGACCAAGAAATGAAGACACGCATACTATCTTAGTCATATGTAAGATGAATGTGGGTCTTTAATTCCCATATTATATTATGTGATTGCCACTCCCTTGTTTTTATGCTTTGTGTTGCTGTCATGAAACTGCAAGTTAAAGTCATGATATCTTCTTGAATTTTAGGTACTTACACTGTGAAATTTTATGATGGAGTAGTTCAGACTGTCAAACATATTCATGTCAAAGCTTTTTCCAAAGATCAGGTGAGAAATGTGGTTTTGTGCTTTGTGATATGAATAATGCTAACACTATAGTTTTGTTTCCCAAATAAAGCCATTACATTGGTTTATGATGGCAAAGTCTTTATTTCCTCCATCTGATAACAATTTCACCTGAAAGTAATACACAAGTTTTCAATTTTTGTCTTTCTGCCATTTTCTTTTAACACAGATTCTTCTTTTCAAAAGTGCCAAATACTTGGATATCTGTTATCCTTGTCTTTTTTCAGAAGTATCTGGTTATTATTCTTTTTTGTCTTTCTCTATCCCCTGTCACCTCCATCCCCTCCCCTTACCCCTCATCAGCTTTTCCCATCACAGAGAACTTGGCAAAATGGTTTAGGAGCCCTAGGTGTTTGTTGTTGTTGTTGTTGTTTTTTTTTTGGGGGGGATGGTCATCTAACTTTGTCCTTCAGCTCAGGACCATGACTTGAGAATTTGCATAGTTGCCTGAGTGTAGGGCTGCCAAGATATGGCACATCTAGAAGTGTTGCCTACTTTCTTCATGGGTTTACCCCTGTCCTCTTTTTTACTCCTTTACTGTCTTTCTTGTTTACATCAGAATGAAGTAGATATCAAAATTTGGATACTAATGTTTTAAAAAGTTCTCATTTTAATTAATTATAGCTATTGAGACTGCTAAAGTAGTTCGTGAAGCATTTTATCAGTCATAACCGGTTATTCACCTCTTTTTGGGTGGTTGTTTATGTGACAGTATTTGTGGATGCTGGGCCCTATTGTGTCTTTTCTTATGATCAAATGCTGCTCTACTTGTCAAAGATTTTAGTAAATTCCTAGCACATAAATTAAGCAATTTCAAAAGATATTGACAAATGATGTCTTTAAAGATTGCCTCAAGAGTGTTACTGCCTTTTGCTGGTACAAAATTATAAAGCATTAGTATTGAAGATCTTTTCCCCTCAGGTATCTAGGTCGCTATACAATGCTCTAAAATGTTATTTTGGCCTTAAATTTGGTACCTTTTTTTTGGTTACATTTATGGAGAGTTAGTAAAGATAGATGGGTATATTAAAAATGTCACCAGAATTGTCAGATTATGTCTAGAACCTCTTTCAATGTAAGTCCAGAGCCCCAGATACTGTTCAGCTCTTTAAACTGTTGTACTCTATAAATTGATAGCACTCAGAGTGCATTGGCTTTGAGATGGGTACCCTTTCCATTGTGGGTTGTGAGTGCCTCAGTTCTCAATTCTCAGCTGCCTCTGAATGTCTTACCTCATCTCAGAGCTGGCAGGTGCCAAGTATAGACCAAGGCCCCCGCTTGTTTTTGTTTGTTCTTTTCCAATAGTTGAAATGGTTTAGATAAATGATTTTGCAGGTCTCTTCAACCTTAAAAAGTAAGGTACTACAAGGGCTACTTTCAAAGAAAAACTTAAAGAGTAACTGTTAGATAACTTTAATAAAAGTTTTTTTTCATACAGTATTAGAATAGATTGTCTTTTTTTTTTTTTTCCTGTAGATTCATGCTTCCCTAAATGTTTTGGTAATCTTTATTTTAGGAGCATTTATCTTTTTGAAGTTATAAAAACAATATATGTTTGCTGTAGAAAATTTAGAACACAAGCACTAGAAAGTTAAAACTATATAGATACCATTGCTCTGAACATTTTGATGCGTGTTCTTCTGTGCTTCTTGTTAATATTTATGTGTGTGTGTGTATATATCATTTTACAATGGGATTCTTGAGATGTATTACTGTTCTATAACTTTTTTCAAAGTTTCTTAATACTGTGTGAGACTTTAAATGATTATCTAGTATTCTCTAATTGTATATAACCCTACTTTGTGCAATCATTTTATCTAGTGGTTGTTAATATTTGTAAATATAGGTGCACGGTCTGATTATTCTGTTAGTGAATTTAATTTCTAGTCTAGCAATTCATTGTAGTTTGTAAATATAAACTTTTAAATTTGTGATCAAAATTGCCCCTCTTTGCCATGGTTACATATTTCTGAGGTGTGCTTGTTCTTAAACCTGGCTATTTTCAGAAGAATTGTGGGGCTTAAAAAAATATTTTCTTCTAGGTTCTAGCTTCAGGGATTCTCCTTCTTTATTATTTTTCCCTATGGGATCCATTAAACTTTCATTGCAGAGTATAGATACTCCTGCTTCCTGCTTCTGGAAAGATCTGTGTGCAGGCTCAGTGCTGGGGATCCCATATGAATGTGGTATGGTGGACCATTTTCTTCTTGTGAGGACTTAGAAGAGAGATGCATATACAAATAAACTGACTTGTAGTTTTGGAAACTTCAAAACTTTCATATAGTCACACTAGAGCATAAGATTTTTAGGATGACTTTTTAAAGCAAGTAATTATTAGAAAAGTAACCAAGAAGCAGTATTCCCTCTTAATGGACAAAATCTCAGGAGCTCAGGAATGATATAGCTAGCTTGTTAGCTTGGACACAGCCTTTATCCACTATATGAGTAGAGACCCTGTTTTTGAGCTGGACAACCTTTATATCTTAACTGTTCAACCTCAAGTTACCAGTTTGGGTTTTACATTATGTAGTACTCAGTGTCCTTTGGCAAACTGAACCAGTCCTCTGACAACATTATTCAGTCATGTATGGGATGAGGAGGACAGGGCGTGAAGGCTTTTTTTAGAACACCTCTGTCAAGAGTTTATTCTTCAGAAGAAATCCTTGTCAGTAGCTGTTCCTTTAATTATTTTCCAGTGACATATCAATTATAGTAAAGAAGATTGCTCTGTCTCAGAAGGAGTTAAACAGAGTTGTTGTTTTCTTTAAACTTAGGATTGTTTTTCAAACTTCAGAGTCTGGGTGGATGTTTCAGTCATGCATACCATATGTCCATATGTGACCTGGCATATGTCCTCTATTAATTTCTTTGTCTGTCTTCATATGTTTGAGAGAAAAAAAAGCCACCTGAGTTTTGTATTTGCAAGTAATCACAAAATATGTTTCATCGCTATTTTGCTCATTTTAGAATATTGTGGGTAATGCTAGGCCTAAAGAAACAGAACACAAAAGTCTTTCATCATCTCCTGATAAACGAGAGAAGTTTAAAGAGCAGAGAAAAACTACGGTCAATGTGAAGAAAGACAAAGAGGATAAAGCCTTTAAGACAGAAAAAAGATCCAAGCAGCCTGATAAAGAAGGAAAGTTAATTTGTTCTGACAAGGGGAAAATTTCAGAGAAAAACCTTCCCAAGAACGAGAAGGAAGATAAGGAGAACATTTCAGAAAATGACAGAGAATATTCTGGAGATGCTCAAGTGGACAAGAAACCTGAAAATGACATTGTGAAGAGTCCACAGGAAAACTTGAGGGAGCCAAAAAGAAAACGAGGCAGACCCCCTTCCATAGCTCCTACTGGTGAGTTTCCTGAGTGGGCTCTGCAATGGGCAATGCCAGAGTATTCTTCTTTGGCCCTTTGTGGTTCTTTTTAACTACAGTACTTCATTTCTTCATTTTTTTGACTGATTGATTCGTCCCATGATCTGAAAACAAGTTGTGTCTGTGGAGCTCACACATCATGTATCCAGAGGAATATAAGTTGGGAAACAAAATTTCCACAACTGCACTTCTGGGGTGGTAGATAACTGTCTACTGGATGCCTCAGTTTATGTGATAAAACCTAATAAGCTACTAAGACCTTTTGCTTGTGTCTATTCAAACGGTCTTAGTTTAAAAAAGTTTAGTGGGACCTGGAATCAGGAAATATATTCTCCATGAGAGACATGGAAGAGGAAAAGCAGAGAAGTACTAAGTAGGTCTAAGCCTCTGAAGGATGTAAGGTCAAAGAACCCTGGGCCTTGGGAGGCATTAGTGCACTTTGAAATTGAGTTCTCTGGAGAGTGATTATCAATTGGAAATTTTCATAATTTTAAGTAAAAATGGTGAAGTGGCTGATTAGTAAGCATCAGGTTAGAGAGTATAGTTCAAACTTAGGGAAGAATATACAACTATTTTTAAAAGTTGAAATTTGGAATTCTTCTAGAATAATCAAGAATAATACAAACCTTAAATTTATTCCTATGCCAGACATTTATTCTCTAGATTGATTTAGGGACATGAAGAGCCCCTATCTCTCTTGACTGAACACTGCCAGTGATTATAAGGCAGATTATCTTCAGATACTCTTGCTTCCATACTCACAACATGCATATTAAACAAATGAGTCCCCTAGCACTTGCTAAAGTAGTATCTGTTCTTTTTTCTCACAAAATTAAATAGTTACAAAAGATACATATAAAGCATAAAGTGTATTTTCATCAAAACCTGAAACTAGAGTTCGCTCATTCATTGTTCTCCTGTGATGATGGGTCTCAAAACCAGTCCATTCTATCTAATCAGACAGCTGCATCGCATTTACTTCATATGGGGAAAAAAACCTACCTTAATTAACTTTAAATAAATTTATTCTTACATATTCCAGTAGATAATCTTTTCACATCTGAGTTCAGATTTTCAGGTGGGAAACTAGATATAGATTGATTTGTTCCTAATGAAATTAGACATCTCTTCCTTCAGCTATTGTACCTGGATTTTACCCTAAAGAGTGGAGCATGCTGGAATCGTCACTGGTTCTAAGTAGGGCTCAGACCTGTGCTTTCCTTTGTGGTAGCTACAAGCCAATATGTAGTTAATGAGCACTTAAAGACTGTTGCTAGTCTGAATTGGGATCTTCTATAAGTATAAAATATATATCAGATTTCAAGTACTTAGTATAAAAAAACACAAGAATGTAAAATATCCCAATTTTTAAATATTGACTACATGTTGTAATGATGTTTTTGGATCGGCTAAATAAAATATATTCATAAAATTACTTTCACTTATAAAGTATCTTTAAAGTGACTATTAAAAATTAAATATTACATATGTGGCTTGCATTTGTGACTTTCACTATATTTCTGTTGGATAGCATTGACCTAAATTTACTGACTTTCTCAACAGAGTTTTGGGAAAGAAATAAGCTCTAATGCCCAAGGCAGGATTTGTAGTGAATTAACTTCTCTTTTGTATTAAGAATGGTATTAGTTGTGATCTACCTTTGGGAGAATTGAGAATTCAGAAACCTGTGTTCCAATGAGGAACCCCAACTGAGAAAGTGGAGATTTTAAATCACTCAGCAGTGTGCATTTTAAGATGTGGAATGAGTGAGAGGCAGATCTTTTTATGTAAGTGGGGGAAGAGCACTTATGCAGAGAGAGGTGGAAAATGTGAGCTGGCAGAAATCTGATGTGTCCTCATATCAGTTTAGGAGAGAGTATATATGTGAAAATTGAGTGTTCTGAAACTGATTCCCCTTTAGCTATTCAGCTCTGGCTTGTACTCTTGGAAAGTATATACTGGGGTAATTGTACCCCAGTTTGCAGATTGTTCCTGTTGAAACCATATGACTTCATTCAGATTAAAAATCAGCAGCAATTGGGTTGGGGGCATTCAGTTATTGTTTATACTTTACATGTATAAGGTTACACATTAGATAGGATGGATCAATTTTATAGAGAAATAGTGTTTCCAAAGCTTATTGTTAAACTGCCTGGAGTACTTCTCCCAAGCAGGATCTCTGGAGCTAGATCTGGGAATGCAATTATGAATAACTTTCCCAGATAATTCTTGTGTTAAGAAAAGTTTGGAAAACATTGAAATTCTGTGTAGTCAGCCCTGGTTTGTATATGGTATCAAAGTGATGACTTGCCAAAAATCTCATTTATACTTCAAATCTTTTAAACAAAACTGCTTGTTGACTCAGGAGAGTCTTGAGCTGATTGTACAGACCAAACTGAAACAGGATCTGAGTTATTTAGGGAGGGTTGTTCGTATTTATGTTTAGTTTGGAATGTGTAATTTCCATGTTCCCTCTACTTGGAACAAAACAATGTTGGTACGCTAGGAAAATTGAATACATGAAGAGGAGTTTTGTACTCACACCAGGTTTGCCTCAGAGCTTAGCTCTATCTCTTGTATAGCTCTCTGAAGCTACTGGCCTTCAGTGAATCTTACTCTCTTTTTCCCATCCTTCCCCTCACATTCTCCTCTTTCTTTCCCATATACTTCTCTTTCTCTCACTTCCTCTTTTCCCTTCTCTTATAGTCCTCTCTTTTCCTGTGCTTCCCAATTTCTTTTCTTTCTCTTCTGTCACCATCCCAAATTCCTGAGCTTCTTAAGTGTTGGGTTTAAAAATAAAGAGTGAATACTGTCCAAGGGTTTAGCATCTACACTATTAAATTATGCCAGAGCTGGATTTGCTAGGGATCAGCAGTCTTCTCTGGAACACTGACTATCAAATGGCATTTTCTTCTGAGATGTTTCTCAAATGGTTTTTAAAAGGTTATGTTTTGTCCCTCAATACCAGGACCTACGCCAAGCAAGTAGAGATTGAAGACAATGATCAAGTTATAGTCTGAGGGTGCACATTTTAGGAATTAGCCTGCATGATGTAATTCCTGAGTATTGGATAGAATAATTTAAGTAAGAATGCCTGAGGGTCTGTTTATCATGCAAAGTTGTCTGAACATATATTGATGTGTATATGCATACGTGTATATAAATACACACATGCTTTTATATATAAAAATGAAGATTGAACACTAAGAAATTACATACCTTTCTTTTGTGTGATCTTATATATGTTGTAGCTGTGGATTCAAACTCTCAAACTTTGCAACCAATAACACTGGAATTGAGAAGACGGAAAATATCAAAAGGAAGTGAAGTCCCCTTAAAAAGACCTCGACTTGACAAAAATTCATGTGAGCTTCCAGTTTGTATATGTGTGGCTAGAACTTCACACATTTGGGATAGCTTCCTCTATATCCATGTTGTCCCCTATGCTTAGTGGGCTCTAATGCTTGTCCTTGTCACAGGAATTAATGTGAGTGTACTTGGATCAAAAAGAGTATTGCTAGAAGAAAAATAAATCCCAAAGCACAAACTATATTAAATTTGGGTGTAGTGGTGTCTTCACCATAATTTTATCAACTATATTTGATTTGGATTCTACTGGAAATTTGATGACTTAGGAAGAGATAGAAGAGAGATTTCATATACTAATCAAGCTTTAAAAAATACCATTTATTGATTAAAAAAACTAGTCCTTTGTTGCCAAAAAGGATTTGTATTGATTTTAAAGCTCTATAAACTATATTGACTTTGGAAGTTAATACACAGAGTTTTATGTTGAGAAGTCCCAAAATATAATTTAGTTGTCAAGATTGGGACATGACCTGGGCACGCATGTTCAAACCGTGAATCCTTAAAGAAGGAAAATTCTATCCTGGCAGAGAATCTGTGCCTTTACATAAAACTATAAACTAGGGAAGGGTACTTCCTTTTATCACTATTCTAACGTTCTAGAAGATGCTGTAAAACTCTTATAGAGGCAACTAGTTCAGGAATCTGTTGTAGCAGAGTTACTCTTTTTACTGGTCTCTTGACTACAACTCTTTTAATGGTTTATAGCCCAGGAAAAGTCAAAAAACTACTTGGAAAACACGGACAAAGACTTGTCAAGAAGACGATCCTCCAGGCTGTCCACTAATGGTACCCAAGAGATCCTAGATCCTGACTTGGTTGTATCAGATTTGATTGATACAGTTAATACTGATCCTTTGCAGAACACACCATCTGGTACCAAGAAATCTGAAGAAGGTAAGAGTCTCTTCTTGCCAAACTCATGCCTGTCTAGTAAGAACCAGTCTAAGTCATTGTGTACTGTTTCCCACAAGTTTAGATGACTTCAATATCAAGTTATTGAATGAGTTGCATTGTTCTTAGAATGTGTTGTTCTTCACTGATGAATCAGTGGGCAAACTTTTTATATGTTTGTGAATGTTTTGGCTTATATATATCTTTGAATGTTGGGTTGGAGGCACTGTGCTTGAAGACCCCCTTCCTTCTCTAATTGGTGCCTTCTCATTCTTGTGCCCCTGCATTTTGGTTAACACTTCTTGCAAGCCATTCATTTTAACTTCTTGTTAGTAATTTCTTTTTCCTTAGAGCTAATCATAGTCCTTTTCATTGGTCTATTTATGTTGAGTTGCTCCTGATTTATATGTACTGGAACCTGTGAACATATTCTTATACACTGGGAGATGATGACTCCCTCTAAATACTCCCTGGCTTTCTTAGTGTTGTGGGTATTTCCCTTCCCAGGTTCTCTACATTTGCTTTTTTTTTTTTAAATAGGTCAGTTGAAATCTCCTTTGGAAGCTGGCCAGATCTCAACAGCACTAACTTGCCACTCCTTTGGGGATGGATTGGGGCCTACAGACTTGGATTTAAATTGCAAGTCAATGGGAGAAAACACTATGAAAACGGAACCAACTTCTCCTCTTGCCGAATTACAAGAGATTTCTACTGTGACAGGTTCATATTAAAGTTAACATAATTTTTTTCCTAATACATATATTTACTTTTGCTTTAATTATGAACTGAAATAAAATTATAGTGATTTCCCCATCTCTTATTAATAATATTTATATATAATTTTAATGCTCTATACTCTTCATTTTTTTTTAAAAGATTTATTTATTCATACAGAACTGGGGTACAAGCCAGAGATGCGGAGGGTGAGAGGATTCACCAGAGACA